AAATTTTTTGAAATTAGACCACCTTAGATGCGTTTTCTGCGCGAGCAGGGGGGTCCGGACCCCTGGACCCCCCCCCCCCCTGTACACGCCCCACGTGTAGCGTCACCGTTAGTAATGCCCTGTCAGCTTCAGTACTCGGTCAGATACGTAGAAATCGCACAACGTTAAACGTGCTATCGTATCAGGAGTCGATTGATCAATATTGATCAATCTTGATAGACTCCTGATCGTATATATATGTACATGTTTTTTTTCCACTGGCCTTATCAAGTCATAAAATTTCCTAAATAAATCTCCGTTTACGTCAAAAGCGACGTCGGGAGATTGCAGCTTGGCTGTGATATTTTGGTTCGGGGCCAAAAAAGTTTTTTTGGGGGGGTGGCATTTGATTTGCTGACTTGCGACGATTATATTGTCGTGTTTTGACCCGCTAAACGTGGCAGTTGCGGAGGTGGAGGTGGTTTATTTGTGCGTTCAATGTGACTTTGTGGTGATCGAACGCAATATGTGTGACAGTAGGTGTGCTGACTGGCTCTCCCCTGAACTCCGTAATGTTTCTATTCCATAACGGGTCAAATCCACAATGTATTTAATCCATGTGTCTAATCGACAAAAACAAACCTTGTTTACATGGTAAGAGGGCCTATACGTGTTTGCATCGCTATTTAAGCGTCCTACGCGTTTGTGTGGAGTAATATTGACACATATGCCATATATCAATTAGGGCATGCCAATATAGTACGTAAATAAGCCGAAATTCTTATAACTTTGCTAATACCTATTTTAAAACTAAAGTAACTTTGCTAAAATTTTGCTTAAGTTAGCAAATAAAAAATTCAAAATAAAAAAATAAAAAAAATAGAAAAATGAAAAATCGGTAAAAATTTTCCTAAAACCTTGAGAGTATCTCTTTTTCATTCTTTTTCATTTTACCGATTTTTCATTTTCAACTTTATTCGATGGCTAACACTATGTGCCTGGCACATGTGCTCATTTCTCCCTATAAGTATAACATAACATGTGAACTGTCAGAGCGTTTTGCTTGCCCGCGTACATGGTAGTGAGCCGCGGCTGACGTCAGAAAAACGCTGATTTCTCCGTTCCAATTTCTGACTTAGTAGTCGATGTATAAATGGATATTTCTCTGTGATTACAACTCGGAATAATTTAATTTTACCCTCGTTTTAATGGTAACATATTGCTGTAAAAAAGAGCGTCAGGGATTGTTATTAAGTGCCGTATTTTATGAGTTATGTCTCTTTATTCGCAAAGATTTTTTTAATTCAAACGTGCGACTTGAATTTTAGGCAGTTTTTTTATTATTTTTCTCAGTAAATATGAAACTTAAAGAAGAATCCTGATGCGCTATTTTGGTACATATTGTGCTTAACATGTGGCGAAAATTTTGTATCCTCACTCTTTCTGGTAATTGAGAAATATCCCAAATACCATTTTTACATAAAAATTCAAAATTTGTGTGGTAACATAATTAGGTGCTGGAAATTTTATGAATTTTTTTGCCTTGAGCATAGAGATATATCTCCTCTATAAATAAAACAAGTGATTGATTCGATTGATTCGTCAATAAACGTTTACTCTTCATTAGAGCAATACCCGTGCAAACGGTTGAGAGTATCCTTAATCAGAATATATATCAGAGAGCGCGTGTGTGCGCGCGCACACGCGCATGCACGCACGCACGCACACACACACACACACACACACACACACACACACACACACACACACACACACACACACACCACACGCACGCACGCACGCACGCACACACACACACAGAATATATATATATATTATTTTATGTGGTGTTTGTACATATCTTGATATCTTTATCGTGAGATTATGAAACTCTCCAACAGTAGAGAGAAGAGAAATTGTTTTCCTCCTATGTGTGAGTCAACAACCGGGCAATAAGTCATATCAAGTGCATGTTTTGGAAAGCGGTTGCAGCAATCGTTGTCCCTTATCTCTCACCATTTGCTCTCACACATCTCAGATCTGTCTTTTAAGCTATTTATAGTAATGTTAGATAATAGCTCAGCAACGTTTTAAAGTTGCTTGTAAGTGTAGGATTGCTGCAAAATAGTGTCAATAATAATTACTATGCATTCTAGAAGATATTGTGCAAATATTTATATAATAATGTATGTGCGTTTGTTTATTCTATGTAGGTGATGAAGGTTGTTACTGAGATGCCCAGACTGACGTTTCTAAATATGAGCACAAATGACCTCGGTGACTTCAGCTGTACAGATAATCTCCCAGTGATGCCTAAGATACGATACCTGGCCCTGAACAAAACCAGAGCCCCATGGAAGCATATCCAGAAACTTCTAGATCTGATGCCAAAGTAAGAATTAAGGCTTTACTCTTATTTTAAACATGCACTCTGCACCTGCGTTGACTTCAATGTGCATTATGTATGATTTAACTATATTAATTTTGCTTAGCACATGTTGTCTACAGTATAGTTTCTTGATTGATACGATTTCAAGTTAGATAGAATCAAAGCTAGTTTTATTCATTTTCTCTGGATTAACTTTTGTGGTTCCTTTCTTCTGCACACTAATCTTTCAATAGAACTAGTTGATTTGAATCGTGTGATGTATCAGATTTTGTGTTTGAAATGAATATGACGTATATATAATTCACTGATAAATAATGTTTTGTTATTAATAGTTTCTAAACGTTTTTTTATCCACAGTTTAAAGGAACTCCATCTTAGCTTGGTTGGTAAAAGTACAGTGCCAGTGAGTGACACCTGCTACCCTAGTGTTGAACATCTGTCATTCAATAGCAATGGTGTCACCGAATGGGCTGAAATATGCAAGCTAGGTATGTGATTCTAACCCAGTGGTTACTAATCCACTCTAGGTGTGTGTACTATATGTATTAGCCAGAATAATAAAAGTTAGTTACTTTATTACTGTGTTTGAAATTAAATGAACCCGAGTTAAAAATCGTTGGTGAGTAACTTTTTCATGTGTTATATGTTAATCGTAATTATTACTTTAAGGTGGTCATTATTTCATGGTTTATATATTTTCAAAATACATTTATTAAATTATTATAAATTTGATATGAAGACCAGAATTGTGTATGGAAAATAAGTTTTGTGGAGGCTTTTGGAATGCACATTATTGTTATTATTATTATTATTATTATTATTATTAATTTAACAATCTACTATTCTATTTCAGGTGACATGAAGACCAGAATTGTGTATGGAAAATAAGTTTTGTGGAGGCTTTTGGAATGCACATTATTGTTATTATTATTATTATTATTATTATTATTATTAATTTAACAATCTACTATTCTATTTCAGGTGACATGTTTCCGAATCTGAAAACGCTACTGGTCGCAGACAATCCTATCTCCAACTTTCAGCCAGAAGATCGCATTGCGACAAGCTTTCCAAGAGTGACCTCGCTGTGTGTTATAGGGACAGCGATTACAGAGTGGGAGGACATTGACCGCTTGCGAAACTTCCCTGTACTGGTCGAAGTTCAAATCTCTGGTGTGCCACTGGTTGAGGTATTTTATTCTCATCTTTTGTAAGAGTACATTTAATTACACATCATTATACTGTGCAATAGATGACTATCGAGTTTGACGAGTACATTCGAGGCGTAACACACAGCAGTAGTGTTTTTTATGTATTTTCTTTTCGGTTTAAATGAACGAAATTATACTTAATAGAAAGACAAGTAAAATGATAGGAATATACGAATGTCTAATATTATAAATGTATCTGGTTATATATGCAGTTATTTGTGTCTGTACAATAATCACTGGTTAACGGCACTAACGTTTATTAAACTGAAGCCACACAGCTCATGCAGTATATGAAGTCACATTTTCTATTTAATAAAACAAGGATTTGGAAGAGATAGAGCAGTGGCAGCTGCCAATCGCTAGACTTCCAGACATCACCACATTCAACAAGAGTAAGATTACAGATGATGAGAGGGAAACTTGTGAGAGGGCCTTCATCAGAAACTACACGGATAACGACCACAAACCTGATAGGTAAACAGCATATTCTACCTCAGTTGAGTAAGGCAACGTACACCTTAGAAACTTTAGTCTACACACTGGCCCTGACAAATCCGTTATACCTGACGTTTGGGAAAGATTTCAGTTTCGTCAGCAGTGCATTAAGGCGTTTAACATTAAACTAATTAACTTGATGGAGGGATAAACTAATTAAGATAGTAGGGTTAAGATGACTGAATGGTCTAATAAGGGTCAACATAGGCCAATGCATTGCTCACCATGGCATTAGGTTTGCCATCTTTCCTGTGATAGAAGTTTAAAACATTCTCACGTACTACCATCCAACCATAGGTATACCAGTGGATTGCTAAATATTGGATGAAACCTGTAACTAAAACCTGTAATATTACATACAGCGTAGCAATGTCCTCACAATGTGAATCTCAACACAGCAGAGATCTCAAATTTACAGACCCAATCGGTAATACCAAAGTTTACTCACGCAGGTACTATGAGCTTGAGCAGAAACACGGAAAGCTGGATGCACTTGCTGATGTCAACCTAAAACCAAAGATGGTCGCCACGGTGCGGCTCAAGTACGAGAATGAGCAGTCGGTGGCGCGAGTGCGTCTTGACCTCACCGTGTGGGACCTACGGCGCAAGATGGCGCAGTGGGTCAAGCTGCCGCCGAACAAGTTCCGGTTGTACCTAGTGCAGAGCGACATGAGTTTGCAAGGTCCCGAGGAGATGAAGAACAACCAGAAGAAGCTGTACACCTACAACATTCGAGATGGACACGAGCTCGAGATTGTACCAAAGTGATGCGCCGAGGTAACGTTTCACAGGGCCCAGTGTTATTGCATTAGGTAGAGGTATAAACAGGTGCTGTCTCATATAACAAAGGCATATGCTCTGTAAGAAACGTTCACGTATTTCTCTCATAGTATCAGGAGTACGTGGAACAAGACTTTTAGGATGCAATGTATGAAGAGTCAGTATGTGTCAGGAGTCTATACATGTACTCCTGATAATAGATCACACAGCATTGGGATCAGCGCATCTCCGCCTGATCATTCAGTTTCCTCTGTGAATAAAGCTTACTCTTAAATAGCAATCACCAATATTTATTACTGATAGGACCATGGATAAATAATTATAGTCACTAGCCATTTGTTGTACAGTAAAAACCCAACGAGTAGGGATCAGAGTGAGAGCATGTGAGGTAGATACATGTTGGTCATCCACACCTTTGTTATGTGAGTGAACATTCACTATTATTCGTTTCCAATATCCAGGGAGTTCACCTAGTGTAGAAGCTATTTGTATGGTCATTGATGCAGACAGACCGGTTCTGCCGTTAGAGGTGCGCTCAATGTAGGTAAAGACAGTATTTACTATTTTTGGAGACGTTGAAGAGTTTTTTTTATTACAGCTAGTCTGCATTTGTGTTTGTGTGAGTGTGTGTATTGTGTCTTTGCGTGTATTGCGTGTGTGCGTGTGTGCGTGTATTGTGTGTGTGCGTGCGTGTGTGCAAGTATACATGATGTATTACAAGTAGCTGCTCTAGCCAACTCTGTTAGTGGAGCTTCATCGCGTATTAGTATGTGATGAAAGGTGGGTGTAGAGTGGGTGATCATTAGAATAAGCTCTTTTTGCATGGATAATTTATGTAGGGCCTTGGCTAAGTGTCAACATGTTATCAGGAGTTAATAATGACAAATTATTTGTCATTATTAACTCCTGATGTTATATAGTCATGTGTTCCGGTTTTTAGCGGGAGTTGCAAGAATACAGAAGGCACCGTGTTGTAGTTGTGATTGGCTGGCTCAATGCTAGAACACAGACCTAATCGGTGCAATAGGATAAGGATATGATTTTGCATTACTGCATAGGTAGCCGTAGGTCCGCATTTGCGTTTGAGGTTATGTGCATATTCACTATACATACAGTGTAGAGGTTATTAGCATTGAATCTGCTTTATCAGGTAGCTAAGCAGAGCTATAGTGATGTTTGTTTGATGTGTGTTTGTTCTCTTAGAGCCTTAGAAGTACAAAAATTGCTCTCGTGTGATATCTTACAGTCACACATCATAGAAGGGAAAGCTCATGTTTGTAATAGACCAATTTACTGTTTATTGTGGCGATAAAGGTAGAAAACCAATATACCTATGTGATATGATGTTATTGCCCACTAATAATGACAGGAGTCTATCAATATCTATTGATAGACTCCTGATAATGATGATAATCATTTTGGCTAAGCTCAGCTTTATGGCAAAGAGATTTCAATGTTTAGAAATTATCCTTTTAATCCACCAAATTTGATTGAGATTTAATTGAGACCTAGGATTGCTACATTATCCTGCAGATTTCGCTTTAAATATTGTTTTAAAATACAAGTAAAACACATACGTTTGGCAACTATTACACATAATTACTTTGTTGACCCAAAACTTGATTTATACAGCCATTATGAACACTGCATTTAAATTCCACAATTTATGTATACCCGTGTGAATATTCATATATTTATGTATCTAAGTCATATTTACTAATTTTAGAATTTTAAATGTGTAGTAAGAATAAATTTAGTAAGTGTGTTGTAGACAAACCATATGTATATTTTTCACCAAGTTCAATTATAAATCAACAGTTATGTGAGTGAAGTCACGTTTTTTGTCTATCTCTGTGTGTACAGCCCTTTGAATTAGCAATTATATAGTATATTATAGCATATTAGCTTATAGAAACAGATAGAACACATTTTCGTCCTATCTGAACACTACCAGTGCTGCAGCTTGTTATATTTATTTCATGCCAATGATAACAGCATGAAAATATCTATGTAATGATATATATAGAAAAGTTATAAGGATATCTAATATATATTTGAGTTCGTATGTATGTATGTATGTATGTATGTATGTATGTATGTATGTATGTATGTATGTATGTATGTATGTATGTATGTATCTTCCCTATAGGCGGCCAAACCGCCCAAGCGATCTGGATGCAATTTTCACAGGGCCATCTCTTATACCCGGGGAGTGTTCGTAGCTGAAAAAAACCTGCCAAACCGTCAAACTCACCGAAAAATCCGTGAAAAACCCGTTAATTCGTCAATCTTCACACAATTCACCACTCACTGCACAGTGCTGCCACACAGAGAAAAAATCGATCACTCATTCCATCAGCTGCCGAAACCGAAAACGATTGTGAAACCCAAACCGAGCACCGAGCTAAAACAGAGCACAGCCAGTTCAAAGGTTACGACTGCATTGTTTATCAACAGGCTTTGAAATGAGAAGCGCAACCCATTCGTACATGCTGTTACGTGCCATACGTGCATGCCGTACGTGTGGAGCTCAACAGTTCGAGACGCCAGGAATCTTTACATATTTCCACCAGAGAATAACACGAAAAACATTGTTTATCAAGAGGTTTCCAAATGAAAAGTCCAACCCATTCGTACATGCTGTTATAATAACTTTTTGTCATTTACACCATATTACTATTATGTTCCAGTGGTTCTAAGTTGGGTTGTGCTGTCATATAAATGTCATACGTAACAGTTTTTCCCATGCTTATTATCTTATTAGACTGATTTCTAAATATTCATATTCTGTGCAATGTTATTGTCGATTTTTACCCAATGTTCCTATTGTGTCCCATTATTAGTAGTATGAATTAGTAGCACGATTTTACCCAGCGCAGCGGGTACCAGCAGCTAGTATATATCTATAGATATGTTCATGATCACAGGCATAACATTTTTGTACAACTTCGAACCTACTATATAACAAGACAGCAAGTGGGTATAGATAAAATGTTATTTACAAGTTCACAGTATAATCTATGCCACGGTTATGATTGCATATACAACACCCGATTTTGTAATCTTGGTAACCGTAAGTAAAATGCATTACAAAAAGTGTCCTGCAAATTCAAAGAGTAAACACTAAATAACAATCATAGCAAAAAAGATACATTCCTATTACAGGTTAGCAGATCCTAACATCATCCAGATTTTCGCATCCGTGCATTCGGACATGGAACGAAGCTGTTTTTTGTCCCAAGTCATACGAATTCATTCCCGTCAGGTCCCACGTAGTCGGGTAAGATGGCCGCTACTTTACGCCTCAGCTCTGCCTTTCTCAGCTCCTTTGCCCTGAGTGCTTTCACGATACGTGGCAGTGCTTTCCATGCACAGAACATCTTCTGCTTTAACCGTCTACGTCATGCAAAGAAAGAAATGGCGACCATAAACCTGGGAGAGTTCAAATCAATTAATAGTTTCCAACTTCAACTACACGTCACGTACGTAACACAACGGCGAGCCTCATATTATGCATGCGAGTATTGTATTACGTTACACCGACCCCCGAAACAACTGTTGTGACAAAACGTTACCTTTCGTCGTGTTTCTTCGCCTTCGTCTCTTGTTGCCAGAGAAGGAGGTTTTCGTCGGTGGTGTATGCGAGCCAGACGTGAAGTACTTTCCTCTGCAACTTCTCAGAGTACAGCAGTTGTGCCCTTTCTTCCAGCTGCAGCATCTTCTTGCCATACTGTGCCAACGATGTGACATGCATTTCACGCACTTATGTACATGGAAATTAATACTAAAAGAGATGTACTTGACAGTTGTTTTGTTAGAATAGATAGATTTGGAAAATATAAATATAAAGTATATATAAATATAAATATGCACAATATAAAGTAAATAAATATATAGATAATAATGGATGGATGGGAGAGAGAGAGAGAGAAAGAGAGAGAGAGGGAGAGGGAGAGGGAGAGAGGGAGCGAGCGAGAGAGATTTGTTGTCCCTCACCTCCTTCCACTTCTGAAAGTATTGCCTGGTGAGAATCAGTCTATACATATCATCTGCCACCTGCGTGTTTTGAGTCTTGAATTCCAGAGCAACAGCATGCCACGAATGGAGACACTTTCTCAATAATGTTTTTCTAAAATGAGTTAATAGTGTATAAGTTAATTGCTAATTGTGCATTAGCATGAGCTGTGCTGCTGATCAATAATTATGTTTTCAGATTGATTAAGAGTTAGACATTTTTCACACAACGAGATTATTGCCATTCTGAATATTGATCACGTGAAATGTCTTCGACATCATAAATAAAAATAGTACATGTCAATCATTAATTACATAATTATAATAATTATATCATATGCAGGTAACAATAGGAAATGCTGATTAATAACCAACCTGTGGTGTTCGCTGGCCATTTGTTGTTGCTTGTGCTTTTCTGTAACGAGTTTCCGCCACGAACAAAAGCTGCGACGGAGTAGCACTACCTTGTAGTGCTTGCCGGCTGTCCTGTTCTTTTGTCTTACTGCCTCAAGCCTTTGTTGTCGCTCCTCTTCTTGCTACACACACACACACACACAGTTCAGCTAATAGAGTTCAACAAAGAGTAGCTCTCTACACCAGGACAGTTTTGATTTTGCTAAAACATTGGGATATTCAGGCAAAGTCACCCAACTTCATGAACTGGTTCTGATTTTGGGAGAGGCAACAGACTATTAGACTATTAGACTATTAGACAGCTGTTTAGACAGTGGCAACATTCAGGACTTCCAAGATTTAATCAGAATATTGAAGGCATACTTAGCTGCACAGAAATATCTACTGGACAAAAATGGACCCATTTTTGGGTGTAAAATCAGCTATAAGAGTCGGATCTCACTGGTTACATCTGACACCATGATTGAGGCAGCAAAATTCTCATTTGGTATAAAATTATCCATGTGGTACTGAGCGAATTGCGTAGGGCAAAACGCCAGAGGATTAAAATGATATTTGTGTAACGTGAGATATGCACGTGAAGTGCATGAAAATTGACACTGGCTAAAAATCACATGCCTGTTTTTCCAGCAGCTTTCGCTCCCTACGTTCAGCGAGCCTTTTCTTTTTCTCCTCTTCCTCCTGCCTTTGTTGTTCTTCCTCTACTGCTCGTAACCTGGCAGCCTCCTCTGCTGCCTGTTTCCTCTTGCGTTCCTCTATCGCAGCCCTCCTCTCTGCTCGTACCTTAGCTCTCTCCTCCATACACACCAACGGCAATGGCTTCGTTTGCCGTTTGGATGCCGGCTCGGTTACGAACTCCGAGGCAATAGAAATTGTGGTCGTAGCAAAGCTGGCATTATCGCTGAGTGTCACGTGACTTGCACTGGTGTTAACTCTACTGCCATCACTCTCGGATACTACGGGGCTGCCACCGTCCACCACTGTAGTATTTTGGACAGGGCTATGATTTCCAGGTGTCGTTGACATTCTCTGCAAATAATTGAATTGTTATAATAGTTATAATCATTAATTACTCGTACTGATAATCGTAATAGGAATAAAACCAAGAAGTATATTCTTGTCTTGTTGATGTGCGCCGGATTCACATGTTTACAGAAGGTTTCCCATAAATCTACATAATGAGCTGTTAAAAAGTGATGTCATTTAAAAAAAATAATCATTACTGTTTTTTTATAAATAATGTTGGTAATTGATTAAGATTCTCCTGCTTATATTTTAGTAAATGTGATTTTAGTTTAGTAATATTCTACAACGCGTAGAAAAAAATCGTAGATGCACTGCAATCTTTTACTAAGGCAACAACTAAACATCTGTATTTTCACCACAACATATCAAACACCACATTTGCTAGGAAACCCCATCAATGCACAAAACTCAAGAACACGTAATATATATATATACATATATATATATATATATATATATATATATATATATATATATATATATATATATATATATAATAGACGTACAATTATGAACAAATAGTGCATCTGCAATCACAAAAATACGACTGCGATGAGAAGCGAACCTGCTTATGTATGCTGCGCAGCTTGTCCTTGAGTTGCTGTTGCCGACAGAGAAAGTGAAGCTCGTCGATCTGCTGCTGCTGCTGGTGGATCAGCTTCTTCTGCTCACCCAGCATCTTGTGCTGCGTTGCGAACCTGTGACTGTACACCGCTCCCCTCCGTGCACCACCCTGCCGCAGGCTGCTAGAGCTACCACCACCTGAAAACAAATGACATTACCAAATATAATCTGCTAATATATCGGTACTTGTATTTACTATACAAGGTGCCAGGTATAGATTTACTCCACTACTATTTAACACAGTATAGGTAATACCAATAGTAGTGGTGCCATACTGAAACTTGAGGTTATAGGCAGTTTTATATAGCTCACTTGCTCATAAAGACAATTCTTAAAATGGAAGTTCTAACCTCTGTGATTTCGAGTTTTAGTGCTAAAGCATTTTACTAATTTATTCTGTTATGCCAGCATAAAATACACAATTGAGTAGAATGGTGTTGGCAGGATCTTCTAGTATTGAGTTAAACTGTTAAATATATCATAAATCTTTATCTTAAAATTTAACTAAAAAAGACTATACATGGGGCATCTGCTACCTGCTTGGTTACTGCCATGTACGTGTGACCCATAATATCTCCACTGAGTTAATAGACAAGAAAAATATTCGAGAAATTTTGTTTTTTTGTTTTTGAATTTTATAAATGAAAGGTATTGAGAAAATATTGAGACTCTGCACACTACTAACATACTTACTTGACGGCAAATCTAGTGTACTTTTCACAACATGGATATCCTTCTGTGAAAGCTGCCAGGAGTTCTTTTTCGACAATCGATTGACACCACACTTGGTCCTTAGAGATGTGCTCCCGTGCGGCAGTGATACCTTTAGCGCTGAATCACTTTGTGAAGCGGGTAGCTTTACATCTTCATGGTATTTATCTTTAGCAACGCTTTCACTCTTAAACGAAGAAAGAGTCGGATAATTACGATATTTTTTAGAATTCAGTGGGATGTAATCACACCTAGTGAATATCAGTCTAATGAAAAATGCTGTCACTCCCACTACTATTATAATTTTATCGTATCCCATTGTAAACGAGCATTACTATAACTAAGCATTATACCAGTAGGTGAGAAAAGCAAATTGTTTTTATTCACTCCTGATTATACCAACTTCTTAAAACTACTACGAATAAAACCACATTTCCTTCGAAAAAAGCATTGCCTATCAGCTTGACCATCTAGCAATTCTTTGTTATTTTTTAGTAGTATTCTAGATCCAATTCTCCTAATGCTGAAAGCACACACATAAATGACATACGCATGCAAGCACACACACACACACACACACACACACACACACACTCACGCACACGCACACGCACACGCACACACACACGCACACACAACTGCACCTGTCTATGCACCTGCCAGTGAGCTAGTGTCTACTTTTGTTAATTACTGGGACTATTTCAGTGTTTCGACAATGGACACCTTGCACTATAATATTATATCTGATCAATTATTCATGAATATTCACCTACATCTAGATATATCAGTGTCTATCTGTCAATCTCGCTCTTGTGAATTGCACCTGGTTCACATACTACTGCTGTGCAGCAAATAGACAAGCTGCAGCACTCTATACTCTATAACTATAAAACAATAAAAGCTTAAACATATAAAACCTTAATATTAAATTAAGGTTTTATATGTTTGAGCTTTCGTTGTTTTAAAGCTATAGAGGGTAGAATGTAGGTTGACCGAACTAAATACGACCTAAATAAATAAAGAACCTGTTTAAATTATAGACATTATTTTGAAAATTTATATCAGTAAATTGAAATCAATAGTAGCTACAAATATCCAGCTACACGGTGACCAGAAAACAGTGAGATACATACTAATTTTTCTGGTGACGATTTGTTTTCCCCACTTGTCCCTGACAACGTTCCAGATGCAATTGCTCCAAGAAAAGCATCCATTTTGTTCCTGGTTTCCAAGGCGACAACTTGCTGATTATTATACTCAATCTGACGCTGTATCACTAGACGCCATAAGAGGAAATACTTCCGTTGTGTTGCGTGTCTATGGTGTTGAACTGCCAGTAACATCTTCCTGCACGACAGACAAGGTGCAGAAGAATTGATTTGTTGTCATCTTGGTTACTACGTGCTGAAACTGTGAAATGACTTTTCTTATACTATTAACATTACAATACATGATCGATATATCTAATACATATTTGTGAATGTATGTCTGTTCGCAATGCAAATCAATATGGAGCACTCTAGAAATGTCCAAGGACGTTCAGTAGGGGTAAATTTTGATGATGAATGTCATGGGCACATTGGATTTGACCTCCGAGGTCATCTAAGCCAAAAAAAAACACGGAAAAAAAACGTTAAATAAACGGGACCCTGCAGCAGCATTAAATAAACGGGCCCCTGCAGCAACAGGATTCAAGTTAAAACAGTCCAAACAGAATTCAGCTTGCACTGACTTGCTTTACGGTTACTAAAGATACAATAGATAAATAAATAAATAAATAGATAGATAGATAGATAGATAAGTAGATAGATAGATAGATAGATAGATAAATAGATAGATAAATAGATAGATAGATAGATAGATAGATAGATAGATAGATAAATAGATAGATAAATAGATAGATAGATAGATCGATCGCTTGATCAATAGATAGATAGACGGATATAGATAGATAGATAGATAGATAGAGAGAGAGATAGAGAGATAGATAGATGGACAGATAGATAGATGGATAGATTGATGGATAGATAGGTGGATGGATAGATAGATGGATGGATAGATAGATAGATAAATAGATAGATAGACAAATAGATAGATAGATAGATAGATAGATAGATAGATAGATAGATAGGTAGATAGATAGATAGATAGATGGACCGATAGATAGATGGACAGATAGATAAATAGATAGATAGATAGATAGATATATAGATATATATTTTTGGGGACATTTTCCTTTCAACCAAGTGGTCACCAACTGAGTGCTTTATTTCCCGGACAACGCCGGGTATCCTGCTAGTATAGCTATATATTTTAGTGTAGTGG